AACTTGGCACCAGTCAATGAAATCCACAACAGTTGGTCTAAGCCACGTAGGAAGGTGTAGACTTCTTGGCTGGTTGGGGTCCTCGGGACGGTAAAAATCTATGGTTGGAAACAATCGGTGACATGGCTCAAACTCATCGTTCTCAGTGGCCCAGATGCATCCACTCCTTGTGACTTATGATCTCCAATGAAACTGTTTTGTTTTTCTTTATTACTCCTTTGTCTCACACCTCTGCTCACTGTCTCTATTATGCTTTTCTTGTACTTTCTTCTGTTGCTTCGCGTGCTACACGGAGTGTGGCGACTTGAACTTCCGCAAATTTGTGCAAAGTTCTATATCAAAAGCAGACAGACAGACATGGGGTAAAATAAGATTTTTAGTATTTCTTTTGCAGGGATTTTGATGGGTTTCAAGTTAGTTTGTAAACTGAAATCAGGTGTATTATTATTATTCCCTTGAGTTCCGAATGGAACATGGGGACTTCAACAACACATCTCTATTATGTTATGTTCTCTTCCGTCTTCTTCATCTGGGTCCACAATTGACCAAACTCTTTCACGATCTCCTCCATATCACCCTAGGATGATCCACTCATCGCTTCCCATTTGGATTCCACTCGAGCGATGGCCTGGCATGCGATGTCATTCAGCGGCTTCCTCAATGTATGCCCCATACATCTCGCTTTCTCCTACATTTTTTTTGCTCTGCGATTGGCTCTTGGTTGGTTCATTTCCATAGTTTTGTGTTGCTTATTCTTTCTGGCCATTTGATCTTCAGTATGGAGCCAGTGAAGCTCACAGTTGTTGTTGAAAGTCTGCAACAGGTTGTTGGAAATCCTTGCCGGGACACGCAGTGCGTTTCTGACCCGTATAGAAAAATCGACAGGAAATAAGTATTGAAAATGCGAATCTTGTTTCTAATGCTGATTACGGAAGATAAAATCACTTGGAGAACTATTAAAACCAGAGAGTGTAGCAGAGCTGTTTTGTGCTAGTCCTGGACTCTTCGTTAGTATTTTTTTTTAATTTTTGATTACAGCTTGATTCTACATTGTATTTTTGGTACAAGTATGGAATTTTCAGCATGGATATCGGTAGCTCAAATTTTGCAGGCCGACCATAGATATCAGGTGTGCGTCGGCAGTGGATCGAACCTCCGACCATGCGCATGGTTGGCGAGAATCCTAACCACTGTGCCACCGAAGCATCAATAATTTCACCGTAGATAGAACGTAGCGCCTTCAGTTTATTGGGTAAGCGCATTATCATTCAATCACTAGCATGGAATTCAACAGTCCATGAATCATAACTTATGCAATATGTAGGGCTATGGACAACTAATGTCATCCGCTGGTGTTTATCCTTACACTTGACTTAGTGAATACCCTCTACAGATTTGAAAGAACTACATTTGAGATGTACATTGAATGTACAATTTATTTTCAGTGAAACAATTGACAGTCTGAAGTATGGTATTGTAGTGGGTTCCTTTCTTGGATCATTTCCTTGCAGACTCTGTTTTATGGCTAGTCTTGAAAATAATCAGTTGAAGTCAACAATCCAAAATTTTCAAATTAGGCATATAATTGAATAAGGCTAACAGGAACTAAGCAATTTAGTCTGGTTAACAAAAAGCGTATATCAACCTCGATGTTTATCTGATTCAATCACTCCGTGACAGCAGTACTCACTAGGAGATGATGTTCTCTGGGCCAGTTGATAACCTGCTGGCGATTGAACACGAAGTGTGCTGAATTCCAGTGTCAATGAGGATATGAAAATATTTCTTAGTAAATTATATACACCAAGCTCTCTTAATGAATCTGAGGCAGGAATAATAACAACACATGGTGCAGGATAAATTGGACACGTTGTTTATTTGATCAATACTTCCTCAGCTGTATAAAAACAAAATGCTGGAATGATCATGGCGTATAGATAAATTTCAGCTATGGGTTCCCCATTAGGCCCAATCCTAGCTGATTTTTTCCTCGCTAAGTTAGAGAATGGACCACTGAAAGGAGTAATTAGTGATTTTGATTTCTACTGTCGATATATGGATGATACATTTCTGGTCATAAAAAACGAGGACGATGCAATGAACATCCTTGACAAGTTTAATGATGCCCATTCAGCAGTAAACTTTACCATAGAGAAAGAAAGTAATGACTGTATCTCATTCCTAGACGTCTTCATGGCAAGGAAAGAAGATGGCACACTAAGAAGGAGTGTGTACAGGAAACCTACTACAACAGGACAGTACACTCATTTTTTGAGTTTTGTACCTTTGAAATATAAACGCAACCTGGTAAATTGTCTGGTTCATAGAGCGAGGTTAATCTGTTCAGACGACTGCTTCAATGAGGAGCCTAAGATTATTAGAGAATTACTTAGAAAAAATGGTTATCCAGATAAGTTTATTGAGAAAAATATGAATTCATCACCTAGGACAGTGACTATGGCAACAGTTCCGAAAAAACCACTGTTCATAAAACTTCAGTTCCTCGGCGACAACATCAGCGAAATAATAACACAACGACTGAAGAATTCAGTTAAAAGAGCTTATTATGCAGCAAAGGTACGCTGTCTCTTCACAACCACACCTATCCTACGTTCGAGTAATAAGGATAAACTACCTAAATTCGCCTCTTCCATGTGTATCTACTAGTTTGACTGCAGCTGCGGAGCCAGCTACATCGGGCGAATAATTAGGCAGGTTCATCATCGTATTTCCGAACATCATCCAACATGGTTAAGCGAGGGACAAACACGGTCTATTCGTAGCTCTATTTTAGCCCACCTTGTAGATAGTGAGCATAAGGTTGACGTTATTACTGCACTTAAAATTATTTATGGCATTCCTACTAATCTTAATTTTGCTTTACGAGTTCGTCTTCTACATACAGCTGAAGCAATAGGAATCCACCTGAAGAAGCCAAACTTGTGTGTTCAGAAGAAATTTGTACAACCACTTTCCTTACCTTGGCCATCATTACATGATTGTATAAACCGGACTACTCCATCACCCTCCCCCTAGAATAATTTTTCTTTTTAAAAACTATAATTGTCCAAATTATTTTATTTTTCTGACTACTTCATCTTTAATTACGTGTTATCCTTGTAAAAATTATTATATTCTTATGACCACTTCAACTTTAGTTAAAAATTATCATTATAGATAAATTTCATTTATTAGGATGCACTCAGTAGACAGGATCTCAACGAAATAAACAGTAGAACTGTTTTACTCTGCATCACGTCTTTTTTATCGCTTTGTTCGGGAACGGGAAAAATCGGACTTATAACTTTCCACAGTCGTACTGTCTGAATCAATCGATTGTATGTGTAGTAATGCTGATTATCCATGTCATTGATGCAAACGATAGTTGGGGGAGGGGTTGGTATTCTTATGATCTTAAATTAAACCCTTACAAATGTGAATTCAGTGTTACTCTATACGGATCGGAAACTTGGCGCGTCCTTCAAACAAACTACAGTCCTTCATCAACTGCTGTCTTCGTTCAATACTACCCAAGATCAAATGGCCAGAAAAGATCAGTAACAGGGATCTCTGGTAATTAGCGAACTGACCCAGAAGGAACCAATCGTGCAAGAAATATGCAGGAAGAAATGCAGGTGAATTTCCCATACTCTGAGAAAACAAACCATCAAGTGACATCACACGCCAGGCCATCGCTCGAGTGGAAACCGAATGGGAAGCGGTGAGTTGGTCTACAGTGTGAAGGTGGCATGGAGGGTGAATCTGTGCTCAAAAGAGATGAAAGCATGTGAGCAGACGTGGTACCAGGTGAAAGCGTTGGCAGAGAATCGAAGGCAATGAAGATATGTGGCTGAATCTCTATATTCCTCTAGGAACTAAAGGAAACAATAATAATAATATAAATATCGGGCTGTTAAATTTAACTTTCAAACACAGGCGCAACTTACATGAACTAGTTTGTTAGTACGATTCATTCTACTATCCTAGATGGTACTGAAGTTGAAATTAGATCGGAATTTAAATGTCTTGGATAGTTTATTTCCTCTGGTCTTTCCTGATCTTCCCACATCATGTTAATTTCTAGAATAATATTATATTTAGTGTTCCACTAAAGGATTATGAGATAATCTGGTATCCCTAAGTCTCCACGTTCTACAGTTTACCAATTCTTGTATTATACTTATTCATCTTTATTACTACCGCCTAACTCTTTCTTGGGCTACACTTCAAAGGGCACTAAAAGCTGTCAGTAGGACATGTGGGGTGTCTCTATATCAACTCTTTAATGCAGTTGTAGACAGTAGTTGCAGGGATTCCTGCAAGAAATAAGCAAATACCATCTTGTCACAACTCTCTCTCTCTCTGAATCTCATCCGACAGAACTAAAAGCAACAACAGAAGACTTTATTCTCGACCGACTTAGTAAAAAATCTTTACAATGTCTAATTTGGCCAGCACACATTTCGTCCCATTTTGAACTAACATCATCATCTGTAGGTACCTGTATTCTTCGATGAATAGTGGGTGTTCCAAATGACAGTCACACCGACTACCTCTTGTTTAAAGTACCACGACGTTGCCTACTAAGAAATCCACCGACCATACAAACAAAAACAAATAATGGCGATTTTCATTATTGCCACCAATAGATTTTGATTGGTTGAAATACCTGAAGTCTTCAACCAATCAAAATTTAGTTCTGTTTACATATACAGCTGCATTTTTATTGGTTGATATTATGAATAGACTAGGGTAGAGGAGTTGATAGCGTTATTAATGCTCCATCTTAGCGTGTTATTCTCTGGCGTAATCTTGAGCCATTTTTTCAATATTCTTCTAGTCTAATCAATTTTTTTTCTAATGTGAGTATGGATATTAGTATATATATACATAAATATTAATGTCATAAAGCATATACCAATTCATGTACGTTTAGCCTGTCCACAAAATGAACTAAACTGGATTATAATTTTATAATTTAGAACTACACAAAGCTGAAAATGAACCGCTTACTTATAATTTTATATACTCTACACTACACTTACTGTTTTGGACCTGGACTTTTCAAACTATCGTCAAATTCTTATGATGAATGGAGTCCTTCACTGTCAGCACCCTCATCCGCATCCTCTTCGATTGCCTCCGCCTCTTCTTCATCTGTATCGGGTTCATCTGCTGTTCCAGCTGCTTTACCTTATTCAGGTGATACAAATTCTTATGCTTATTGGAATTGTCATACAATTCCACCAAATATGACACTATGTAAAAGTGTCGGTTATTCACGTATGGTACTGCCAAACTTTTTACAACATGAATCACTTCGTGAAGCTATCCAGCAGGCGAATGTATGGATTGCTTTAGTCAATACAGATTGCCATCCGGATATTCAAAGATTTTTATGCTCTTTGTATGCACCAGTTTGTTTAAAAAGTCATCAAGAAGCTAAAATACCACCATGTTGGGAATTATGTGATCAAGTAAGAAATGCTTGTTTGCCAAGAATGAAATTATTTGGTTTTGATTGGCCTGATATTGTACGCTGCCAGCAATTTCCACGTTTAGCTGAAAGTATGTGTATACCCCCGCAGGAGAAGAGTACTGGTAAGTCTAGAAAGATTACATAATATTCGCATACATAACTTTTAATCTATATTACTCTTTTGATGTGTTTGTGTTCTCTGAACTCCATGGTTTGATTACGTAGCTTTCGTCGTCTTTCTGGACAGCACATCTTCAGCACAGTCGCCTTGAATATAAAGTAAGCGCTGAGCTAAACACTGAAAAATTTAAAATATAACATTTACCCCTCCATCAACCTTACCACTTATTTTCAAACAACTAATCGGAATTAAGGGGTGAGATAATTCGCGAAACTGCTACAATAGATTATGGTGTTCTCAGATCTATTTACACTTTTATTTATTTATTATTATTATTATTGTATCCTTTAGTTCCTAGAGGAACATAGGGCTTCAGCTGCGCACCTCCATTGCCTTCGGTTTTCTGACAACTTTTTCACCCTGCTCCAGGTATGTCCACATGCTTTCATCTCCTCCTCGCATGACCTCCTCCAAGTCACCCTTGCACTGACGACCAACTCGCCTCCTCCCTTTCGGGTTCCACTCGAGGGCTTGTCTAGTGATGTCACTTGATGGTTTCCTCAGCGTATGGCCAATCCATCTCCATTTCTTTCTGCCTATTTGTTTCACAATCGGTTCCTGATTGGTTCGCTCCCAGAGATCCCTGTTGCTTTTATTTAGGTTCCTTAATCTATGTCAAAAGTCCAAATCTCTCCGATAAAGACAAAGTTAGCCTGTCAAACCTTCCTTTGCATCTATTATCCACCTATTCATCTATTGTCGAAAAATGAGCAAGGAGAATTGGCTATGTCATACTGTAAAATAAAATAAAACTAACAGACAAATGTAAACTGCACACTAGCGTTTATAAAAACAAAAGTCAACTCACTCTACTAACAGATATTTAGACTTTAATTCATCTCATCCCTAATCTGACTGTGAAGACAGGCTTAGTTAAGTGTCTGGCAAACCGAGCAGTAACACTCAGTGGTCCAACAAAAAACCTAAATGATGAAATAAAACAGATAGAAGAAGCTTTGTTGTTAAATAAGTAACTATCCAATAAATTTCATTACGAAGATCGAAAAGGTCAAAAGCAAAATAAAAATAACAGCGAAACTAATAACGATAAAATAAGTAAGGAAGAAAATAAGGCATCTACAGTAGTTTTACCGTATACAGTGGGGACATCTGAGCACACCTAAAAACTCACTCAGGTAGGACAAGCTCTGTAGGTTAACGGTTAAAGGAACCTTTCGGCTGACCCAATCAGACAAAATATTTCAGATTTATTGGTTGAGGATAGAAGGCTTGGAGCCTATGTTAATCCTTTTCTAGTAGATTTCTGTGGTTATCCAAACCCTTCTTGAACGAATCAGTTGAGGTTGCAGACACCACTTCTTCTGAGAGTCGGTTCCAAGAGTTTATGACTCGATGTGAGAACCAGTACTTAACAGCAATATGATTTCTCCTCGGTTTTTGAACTTTCCTGCTATGTCCTCTAAGGTGTTCCGACCTGGTGGGAAGGAAAAGAAAGAATAGGTCAGGTCCGTAGTCATTATTTAAAATTTTAAACATTTTGATTAAATCTCCTCTCTGCCTACAGTATGACAGTGAGAAGAGATTTAAACTGTCTAGTCTGTCCTCGTATGATAAGTCAGCTATGCCATGAACCATACGTGTTGCCTTCCTTTGAACACTTTCTAGAATGTGTCAATCCCCTTTTAGACAAGGACTGGCGGCCTGGATGCAGTTTCCCAGTCTTAACCTAACCAGAGATGTATATAAGGAGGTGAACATATCTCTGGTAATTCTTGTAAAGGCTCTGTGAATCGCCCATAATATAATTTACAAAATACCTTGCAATGACTGTGAGTGTGGTCAACTGCATAGGTCAAACTAGTAGATAGGAGGTAGTCAGATTATCAGAATATGGTCAGAATTTAGCTAAGGTTAGAATGATTGACCCTACAAAGATAAGTAATTTAGAAAAAAGTCAGCACTATACTGCACTGCATGCATTAGCAATGCACAATAGCACAACAGGGTAGAAGAGGGTTAGAATTCTGAAAGGTGATACAAGTAGGTGCAGAGAGATGTTGATTACTGAATCCTGCCTGGTTTATCGAGTCTACACCCAACAGGTGCAATAAGAATGTCTCATCATTCATACCGGAAATATAGAAAATATTACTACCAATCATCAAATCAAGAGATGAGAAATACTGGAATTATGTAAACGAAGTTAGAAAGTTATGTGAGTACCTTGATATGATTATGAGCATTGATAAACTGTTCTCGGAACGTCATCAGTAAATATTACTGTTTGACAACACTGTGTGAGACTTTATCAAAATACATTTTATCCAATAATCAAACACTCAGTCTTCCTAAGACTCATTGAGTAAATTCAGAAAACCAGGTATAGTTAGATTTGATGAAACCACGAGTACGCTGAAACTTTCAATCCTCCTTGCATGTTTCATCTACAGTGATTTCTCAATCAATCTCTTAATTATTGTTTATTTTTTTGGAAATGCTAGCCAATATACTACTTTTATCTATTTATGAGTAGTATGCATCACATGAAATTGTGAAAGAAGATTAATTTGCTAAACTGTCTGTTATATTTTGAAACCAGTATACTTGTTTTAATGTAAATTATTTCAAACGACACTTAAATTGACGTATTATTAGTCAAAGAGAAGCTTGTAAAACCTTTTGGATTTTTTTGGTTTGAAAAAGATGAAGACAATTTTATTTTCGACGAAGTCACCATCACCTAGGCTGTATATCCGTGTGTTTAAAGGAAACGTGTGTGAAAACTTCAGAACTATTTCCGTTCAAGGGTCAAATTAATAAAAAAGATGATTAGATAAGAAAGGTAATCAGATAGTCATTATTGGTAGAAATGACTTTTTAAGATGAACATTGAAGCGGCAGAGGTTGAACGTATTTCTTTTAAATGCATAACGAGGGCTCGAACTTTTGGATCGCTAGTGCCTCAGCTATGACTAGCCAGATGCCTTGATTTCACTCCCTTTGAGAGGTATGATAGGATTTTGTATATGACTTTGAAGGATTTTTGAAACGGAGCTGAATATTGTGAACACACCAGATATTCTGTTATCGAACAATATACAGTTTTACGTTCTCCCTTTGTTAACCATGCTTATAATGGTTCACGAATGCATTTTACATGTGGACGGGGGGGTATGACTAATATGTTTGGTTCCACACGAGCAAGCGAACCGGAGTTTGCCTGTTAAAGTGGCCGAATACTATAGCTTGTCTCTCAATATCTGGATGGTTGAATAGTTTCTTGCAAGAAAATCTCCCTCGTAGGCCGGCGGCAAAGTTCGTTTGACTAAGAGATTTCAGAAGCCGTCTGCGTCAGTGAATATGATTCGATCTTCCAGTTTATTACACTTTGTAATCTTATTAATTTGATCTATTTCTTATAAATACACAAATGTACAGCCTAACTTGATAACTTTGTCAAAAAGGAGAATTTCTTCTTCTCTGCTTTTAGTTTTGTCAAGTAATTAATGAACAGAGTTAAATAACTCTTCAGTGAAAATAATTTCAAAGAGGACTTAGAGGTAAATTTGGAGCAGTAAGCACAAACTCCAGTTTATTGCCATGAAGTTTTACGGCCAACATAGATGTCATTTGTTAGTGTATTAAGGGCATAATCGTTATGTGATTCGCATGTGGTTTGTAGCTTCAGGAGTCGATCTTTAGTTAGTCATTTGAAGTTCTGTAATTCCATGAATACCTTCAATGTGAAGATATGAAGAGGCTGCTTGTATTTGAAGACATGTGTCTGTTTTCTGTCTGCTGGATTATGAGTAATGGTATTGTGGGTAATAATGAGGCTATATGTGAACTTTCAGGTTAGACCACGGATTGATATCAATTAGAGAAGCATCCCGCGATTTTCTGGTTACAAGGCAAACTCGTATACCATTCAGCCACTGGGATCCGATTGAATGGCCAGCCCATGATTTCTAATTACTACCAGTTCATGATTATATCGCGACCATCAACCGATATCATCGACAGGAACTACATCATCACTCCCGACTGGATGGACCTCACTTGTCACTACTTCTCACTAGAAATCCAGGCAACTTCGTCCTGTAGCCAGTTACTAGCGTGCATAAGAATAATTTTCAAGCGTTAGGTGAGGAGAGAAAGCCATTGAATGAGATTGTGGAATTGCATTAATTAAGGTGCCATACTCATACTGCTTACCAAGCCATCACCTTCGTCATCAAAAAGTGTTAGCTGACATAACATCTGGTTGAAGAAGAGCTGTGGTAGGGAGTGGTGTCTTTGACTATAGAGGTTCAAGCCACCTAGTTAGTGTTGTAGACTGCTTAGCTGGGGTCCTGGAAACACCAAGAATCTATGGTTAAAGTCAACTGGCTCAAAATCGTTCTGAATAGAGCAGATGTATTACTCTTTGCGTTCTCCCAGATCTTCATTATTTTCCATTTCCATCATCTGGGGTTCCTTTTGCTCTTCCTTCCCCAACTCCCCTTTCGTTTTGTGTACTTGTGAAATGTGGAAACGTGGATTGTTGTATAACTGTTCAAAATTCCGTGCTGATACTCAGTTATCATTCACTTATTTAAACGATCAAAACTTCTAGCTGTCATAAGTTCACTTTCTTCTAATCAATTTATTTATGTAATACTTCATAAAGTTTATGATCTCCAAACTAAAAGTGAACTCCAAGACAAAGAATAGGTGAAAATGGGTTATTTAATTAACAGATTATGAATTACATGTTGTCATAAAGTCTCTTTATAAAGTAGCTGAGATAAGAGGTAGACTCTTTAAAAGTGAAAAATGTCACTGGTTTAACACTCATAAGATATCCTTCATCAATGGAGGAATTCGTAGAAAGGGTGATATCCCACAAAGAAGCTAATTTTCTTGTTACCTGAAACCCTGTCTATGAGCAACAATATACGATGTGACTACTGATGACGCCAAAGTTAAACAATAGCGTCC